GGCTCGCGATATGATAGACATTGCAGAAAACTTGCTCCACACTATAGTTCGATTTGGAGACGCCTGAGCCATGAGCTAAATGTCACGAACAGCCTGCGAAGGAACAAAACTGGCCATCGAACTGGGTCGTGAGGCTGGCGCGTCAACGTTTGCAACGAGTGCCACCTTGCTTCGATTTAGAGACTGGTGTAGGGAAGACGTGGGAGAGCTCGAAAAAAAAAGCTGGATGAGCGCTTTCCAAGGTCGGCTCGTTAAAATAGCTTTTTCGGCATTACAAAGAACAGACAGGACGAGTTCGTGAGTGCCAAGCGGTCCTTGTTAGATGAGCTAAGTATAAAACTCAAGTTTAGTGTGTTCTTGGGTAACATTCAAACAGATCAGCAGCATCTTTTGCTAACCTTCTCATCGCGACAGAGATAACTTTGTATATTATATAGGGAAAATTCGAAGCATTTGCTAGAGGGAGTGTACCAAGGAAGAAGAGCTAACTTCACTTTATGGCAAGCACCGAAAAGGAATCGGTTTATTTCGTATTGCGCATCTCATCTGGCTCCCATTAGTATGAAGGCGCCTAATTTGGAAACAGCGCTGTACAGCTAACATAGAATCCTGGCCCACTCCGAACGCTGGTCGCTGATCTCGACGAGCGTTTGGCCTTCGATTGAAGAGGAACGCGCCTAGTAATCGTCTGCAAGATGCGCAGGGTCGTGCAGCCAGACTGTGACGCCTGTTCACACGGAGTCGTCACACTAGCACGAATGGAGTGTTTTGGGCACTCGACGCGTTCGAACGCAAATCGCTTAACTGGATCAATGCGGACCCGAATCTTCACCACCCGGACATAACGTCGCTTAAGGTGGTGGTTTGTAGAAACCGTGTCAACGGATTCCAGTTAGCTCTGAACTGGCCTGACATGAGTCCATAGGCAACTCACTTAGGTAGGCACTTATGCGAGCGACCAGCCGTAGATACTCGTTACTGTCTCCAACATCTCAATGCGCTAAACAAACCTCTAGCAATGAAGATCTGGCGGTAACGTGAGTCCTCCTACACTCTGTAAATCTCACAAGGGCATTTATCCGACTTCCTTATCTTTTCTTTTTATCTACTCTTTACTCGGGTTATTTGCTTTCCTCTCGCTGACGTCAGGTGTGGCGACAATGCACTATTACCGGTATAAGTGCGACTGGAGAAAGTTTACCCAGCCCACTTAAATTTCCACTAATCGCATATACGACAAAGAGCTTTGGGTAGTCTTCAACAGATATTTCGTTTAAATACTGAAGCCCTAATAACAAAAATAGTATTTGTGTATCCCTACATCCTGTAGTCTTTGTTCGTTTAATTTGATTTCTCAATTTAAAATATACGAAGAACAAATGGTCTGTAATGAACTGCATTCCCTTCTTCGATCCACAGATACCTTTCGGATAATTACCCAAATATAGCGGCAGCAATCGCAATTGGGTGGCTTGGAAAAAATTGTCGAACGGCCTCTCCACACTGTAACCAGAATATTGTTGTTGAGTTCCATGTTGTCCAGATGAAACGTGCCATAGGCAGAAAAACAGTACGATTTAGTAACATCGATGCGACAGCCTGAAGCATCTATTTGGATTGAGAGCTAATAATAAGCACCGCCTCCTCTAAGGAACTCACTACAGATAGTGATAAATTCTTCGTTAGAGGCAATGGCGGAGCAAAAAAAAATCCTTTCCTTTTAAGCATTTAGTATGTTGAATATTTAAGTGAGCATTTACGAAGCTGAATAATCAATTGTGTGCCGTTGTGTCATGCTTTCACAAATGAGCTCTGCTTTAGTGTTTTTAAGTAGACATTTTATGCACCGATGTTACGGTCATTGATATATATATATATATATAGAGACGGTAAACGCAGCTATCCTGGTATCAATGGCAGTGCTAGGTAGCATCCAGACAAGAGAATTGTATAATAAAAACAAAGGTCTACTTCCTATGCTCAATTACTGAACTGTAACCGCATACCTACTTGAGAAGACGGTCAAATAGCTATAGTAAGGACCACTGGCTCAATACACAGAATTAGTTTACAGAAAAGCATACACGCCGTTTAATAGTTAGGACATTTATAGCCTAGGTCTACTAAGTGGCCAATGTTTACAAGGCCAGTAGTTATTAAAAAGCATAGGTAAAGAACATTTTTGGTCCAGCTCGCATTGCGCTGAAGTTGTTGATCGAATTGTCTTATGCTGTATTTTGTTAGGGTTTCAAAAGCGGTGATGTCTGGGTCCCTGACCGACCCCAACAAGCAAGCGGCCCGGGTTTAAATCCGTAAAGCAACACACACCCTTAAAATAACAATATACTCAAACTAGTGAAAAAGTTTATTCTAGAACAAAAAAATGTGTTCAGGTCTCACTAATCAGGTTTTTGTGTCTCGAAGGCCACAGTACTGCGAAAATCCATCGAACATTAGCAAAGGCATTAGGTAAAGGGGCCTTCAGCAAAAGCACAGTATGTGTCAGGAATGTAGATTACAACGTCGAAGGCCAGCGAGCATCATCTATGTGATCAGATATCGAGGCCCGAAGGACAAAAACTTATTGCGGTAATCGAGGAGGCGTTTTACGACAGTAAATCTTTTTTTTTGAAAAAAATTGTTAGCTGAAACTGACATTCTGTATGTGATGTATTACAGAATTTTAAACCAAATATTAAATATAGAGAAACTGAGTAAAAATGAATTCGCTGTTTGACTCCAGCCTAGTTGTCTGTGGTGTATTCCATGCGCGATTTGTGGACATCTAATCAACAAAAAGCCCTGCCTTGGGGTGTATAGGTTTTATATATATAGGCATGGTTTAGGTTTAACCACCAACCGAAGCCACCAGACGAGAGAATGGCGTCACCGTTGAAAGAAATTGAGTTCGCTGGCAATGTCCGGACAAAAGGTAAAGAAAGTAACTGCAATGGACATCAGGGGCATGTGTTACTATAAGAATGAATGTAGCCCACTGCTCCGAGTTCCTTAAAAAATTCATAAACCGTTCGTGTAGTAATCGAAAACACGCTATCCGGCTACTCGGTAAGTACGCTAGATCTCATCATCAATTATTTCCTAGGTTAAGCAAAGGTATATCCAACGTTGGCCTCAGTTAACTTATTCTAAGTCCATGTGAGTGCGGAGCTTTCCATGGCCTACGAAAAGCATGTGGTAGATAACCATATTTCAACATCGGTTTACTTCTGGAGGCTACAAGTAGGGAAATTACATATGGTAGGTATATGACTGTTTTGAGCGCTGAGACAAACGTGTGAAAATAAAGAATAATACCTCTAATACATGTTAAAAATCATTATTCCCAAAGGTTACTTCATTTCAAGGTCTGTCGAATTTACCCGTAACAACCTAATAATAATAATACTAACAATATATTTTATGACTTTACCAGCTAGGATTAAAAAAGGAACAAGCCCCCCGTATAGAACGTAACAGTTAGAGGTAATTAAATGGTGGGCTACAAAGAAAAGTTAGGGGCATATTGAATGCTTGCTTAATCGAAGATTACGTGGTTCTTATTCGGCTTTTAATCATCGAGGATTTGGAACAAAGCTCCTTTAGTTTGACCGCAAAGTTTGCGTGAAGGCTTGTGTTAATTCAGAATGAAGATTAGAAGCCTTCGATACGATAACCTGTAGCCCTTGAATTTCAATATAATGAGTTGTGATGATACTAATAATTATCTTTCACGGCACATTGCAACTCGGAAATACAACCTGTGATAATCCATATTGCATATATCGCCGGTTTCGATCTAAAGATGCGAGCTGAAGGGTAGGTCTCATCGTATAGTAGACTAAACATTTTATTAGCTGCGTTTTCACTCAGATTTTTCCCTAAAGCTGATTTCAATCAAAAAACAGTTTATTTTCTTACACTAATTAGCAGTCACGCGTATCGGATCTGTTGGTTCCACAGTGGCTCAAAATGATGAAATCTGTGGTAGATTAAATGTTTGTATAGTATGTGTGCTATTTCAACAATCAGACAACAGTGATAGCCGCATTATATAGCCACTTCTAACAATGCTTATCTCAAAAGGGTACTAGATATACTTCCGAAGGATTTAATCCACCGTTGTACATGGAATTATATTTTCTAACGATCGAGTTCGAAAAAGATCGGATAATGATTCTTCAAGCTTCTGTTCAATGTTACCAATATCGCTGTTGGGTCTTGGCTTGCCTCCCCAAATACTACCAACATGGTCAATTGGACATCAACATTGCTTTGACATTTAAGCTACGCTTTCGAATGCTCGGCGAGTTTATTCTACTTTTCGTTGTGTAGCCATTATCTCAATACGTGACCTCCACTTTTTACCTCTGCCCGGTCACCGGGTCGACAGCGATTCGACCCACTCATCACGGACGCAATGGGTAGAATATTCGCCCACACAGACACACGCGCATTTACCCATTGTAGGCGCCGCTAACTCGAACGGTCAGCGTCGAAGCGCCATTTTGAAAATGTGTGAATGAACCCCAGTTTGAGGCAGCTGCCCAAAACCAGTGCTGAGTACAAGGAAATCCGCGGACAAGCAGATATCCAACTGAATGTGCGCAAACTCAGGCCGACGGACGCTTAAATGATTACGCCTAAGTTATTATTCTATTTCTAAGCTAACTAACTTATTAACTAATGAGTAACTGCTGAACTGGCTCATAGTGATTATCACATATTTCAAGGTCGGAACAGAAAATGTAACTAAATTAGATCGGCAACTTTAATGATAATATGGTAACGAGCTAGAAATATATACAGCTGCAGATATCGACACGAATTATTTTGAAGTTCTACTCTTTGTGGCCGTCTCTTGTTTTTCTTATTTTCTTCCCAGTTATCCTTTCCACTGCCCTCGCCCTCGTCGCTTTCACTTCTCCACTGGGTCTCTCCCCTCCATCAATCGCTCGTCATTACATTTGGCCTCGCTTGGCAGTACGAGAGAATGACTAAGCTAAGCTTTCGTTGAACGTGACGAGAGCACAATCGTCAATCAACTAACGTTAGTAATTACGCTAAGGCTGCAGTGTTCATATACTTTCGAAGTAGTTAATAAATGTACCCTTTCGCCCGTCGTCTGCTACTTCGATGAATATTTCAATATATTGTAAACTTCTATTAAACAGCTGTGATTATAACTATGAGTAGATTTTCTGTTCAAGGGTCCTTTTGCATTTGCCTCAGCCCGGTCCATAAACGTGTTCACAGAACGTTGTTCAAGAAACAATAGCTTAGAAATTTTAAAGTTCTGCAAAATAATTTACTTAGCAGCTTTCTATCTAAACGTGACGAGATTCCACCGTTGTTGTATTGGCAGGTCTATTTTGATAACTGAGTTTGACGAATTGTTTTCTGTAGTATTATGTTACCTTGCAAATGATTGACAAATGACGAGCGGAAACGAATATACGGCTCATTAATCGAACCTAATGCTTAGAGTAAATATATAGAAGGTCTATCGTGTATACATACCCCCACTCGTTTTGCTTCCTCGCTTCACCTTAGACTGAATAAATGTATCGAGTTCTACGTTCGGAACTGGGATCTGTGCTGAGTCTTATGATAAGCATGTCCACTTTAGGATCACATGGCACGATTCGAACGTTGGACTCGAAGTGGCCGACAAGAAGCTCTGAGAATTTTTCCAATCGCCGTTGCTAATTAAGAACGAAGTAGTTCAATTCTATTGTTGTCCATTGAAAAGCAAATGAACTGACGTGTGCATCAGTACAACAAAGACCGAGTTGTTTGCAGCGACTTTTTCAGTCGTGCCGGATTCTTCGACCGTTCCGCGACCCGGTTCAAGACGCCACTACATGAACGTGTCGGTTCCCAGTTTAAAGACGGTAGGTTTTCTTAGCAGTACGTGACTGTATCAAGTCTGTACAGGCACGTATGGGCCTTCAAACTAAAATTTCCCGAAAAGCGCATACGAAATGTTGCATCTTGAACGAATGACGAACTGCACGAACGGTATGCAATTGCGGTCACGATTTATTCATTATTTGTTTGTAGGTATGTTTAATGATCCCAATGTATATTGTAGACAATAGTTATTATCCATTGTCGAGCCATTGTTATATGAGTCGTGAGCCCTCTAGTTACGTATTAGCAGAGATTTTATTATTAGATATACGTATGTATAATGGACGGAGAGGGCGAGAAAAACTTGACGCGCTTTTATTTTGCGCCTTAGGACCGTGTCGGGCCGTCGCTGCGCGCCCTAGTCAGAGACAGTGAACAGTTGGCTTTAGAGCTAAATGAAGGACAAGATCTTCCCAGGGTCATACGAAGCGTTAACCAAATGTACAACGATGGTAAGACACAGTCGGCCTCCTGCCGCATAAAATAACGTTACAAAAATTTCACGAGCGAACGGATGGTAGCTATTAAAAACCTCATCCGTCAGCCGAAATGTAACAGTTAAAGCAGATAGCGCCTACGTGTAGGTCAACTACATAAATACTAATCTAAAAAACTCGCGATTTCGTTGTTTATTGTAATTCTTTTCGAGGGAAGACGGTTATAACGCTAAAAATAGATGTTAATATCATATGGAATATTGTTTTTTCAAGGAAGAGGTAAAGATATTTTGGCTTTTAACTTTTATATCGATATAAAGAGGCAGTGTGTCGAATTAATGTAAAATTACTCACTGTCGCGAGAAGAACTATACCAAAACTACTCCTAATCTTTACCGGAAGACACTTAGCCTAAAGTAACTTTAAGTTGCAAAATTGTAAACACCTCTGTGTAAGCTTATATAACCTAAGCAATAATCAGAGAAGTAAGTATTAAAAAACTGATGCCATCGATTGGTTGTCGCAAAAGAAAATTGGACAAAGGGCATGCCAGATTCTATCAGAGCTGCTTTGGAATTTGAATCTTCACATTACCTGCATTAAGTCACCTTGCTTAAGCCTGTAAGTCACTTCTAAGCCTGCATAATACAGCCTCAATAGAACGAGATAAAAACTTGTGAATGCCTGTACTTTTTTTTAATTTTGTTTATATTAATATCGATTTCACAACAGAAATTAATGATGATGACGCATGTTTATTAGAAGGCCATACTTGGATTAAGGTGAAATTGGCAGTTTTTTTTTATATCGAAAAATTTCCGATTTGATGTAATTTATCTCCCGTCTGTCGTGTAAGTGTTTTAAGTTCCCAATGAACGCTTTCATTGGCCTTATGTAGTACAAAAATTGCTTGTCAGAATATGACTGCGTACTTTTCGTGAAGAACTATGGCTGAGTATCCTACTTCTTTTTGTACTACCTTTATCAGCAAAAACTTTTGTTAGACGTTAGATGAGGTATCTGACCCTCAATACCCTATGGCGCATAATGAAGTGTTAGTGAAAACTTGGTGGCAAATCGTCACCATGGTACTGAACATTGGGTGCAACTTGTGCTATCAAATATGCAAATCCCACTATTCTCGCCGATCTGATGCAGTTTAATCGATTCAAAAATCTAAAACAATGAGTCCCAAAGTACGGTTACATCCCGTCATGATTTTTTTTCTAATGATTATTGCTTAGACTCCACAAAGAACACTGCTATTTCTGATGCGAATTTTGCTGCATTTCTGATAGGTTCACAAATTAATGCTACTGCGTCGAGCGGATCAGGGAATCGCGAGCAAGAAGATGTCCAGGCTGCGATACTTATGGGGACGCGGGGGTTTAACTTGCCTTATTTAAAGCTTCTCGTTGACCAATTTCCAGCAAGTCCAGTGTTTGCACAACGTCAGAGTATTCAGGTAGAAGGAATAAAAAAAAGCGGCATTTTTTCGAAGCAATTCGAAATGCCTGTGTTGACCGTTGTAGGCCAGTATCCCACAACCAAATTTCCTAGCGTCTTCGATTGTAGCTTGTGTCTTTAAGGGAAACGACACATGTATGAGCGAGATATTTAATGATTACTCTTCGACTACTATTTTTGATTATGTCTGTCTAGAATAGCTTCTGAACGTCTACTACCTCGAAAGATGACATGCTTTCAAAGCGTTTCGAGATCGAAAGGTAAAGTGCTATCTAACTATTACAGAAGACCGACGTCAAGGGCTTCTTAGACAACGAACGCCAAAACGCTGTCATATCGGCGATTGCCGAGAAAGCGCTGATGACCCAGAACGAAATCAATCGCTTCATCCACCGCGTACAGAATGAAAGGTTACTTAAAATAGATGTATGGCAAATTAGCACGCGGTGCAGCGACGTGTTTAGTGTTGAGCTCCGTGTTCTATGGGAAGTTGTTCCATATAATACATTTTGGTCAGTTTGCAGATTAAGTTGCATACTGAAGGGACGAAAAAAGTTGATATTTAATACAAACTTAGGTGAATTAGCCAGTAATCGGTCCGTCGTCCGCCGCTGCCCAAATATCGCATTGAGATCATTTCAGATAACCTCTTGTCACCTCTTACTATCAATCAAAATCTTGAACTTACGTAGAAATCCGAGGAAATTAGAGATGCCGCTCAAATAGAAGAGATAAAAATAATGACTCCATAATAACAAAATAAAAGCTTCAACGTGTTTTGAAATTTCACATAGAGTTGCAGTCTGGGTATAAAATTATAAAAATTTAAATTTTATAGCATTCTGGTAGAGATAGACTCTGAAGTTCACAATGACTTTTCTGCCCGTATAGAGATCATTATTGTGTAAAGTTACTGTTCCGTTTTCCGTGATGTTGACTAACGCTCTTCTATCAGATGGGCTGAACAGAAACGACGAGTGCTGGCTTCGGTCGAGTTCAGCACTGACAATGTCAGTGACCAACGATTACAGTCATTCAACGACGCGCTCGCCATAAAGAACTTGACGTGGGCTCGGCAGGCTCGTGAGACGATCTTGACTTCGTTAGGTACCCCAATACGAGCTAGCCTATCGACAGAGGAACGCAAGTATGCTCGTGCGCTGTCACAACATAACGCTACGTCGCTGTCGGGCGCACAGTTTGGCGAACCGCAGACTCTCATCGACAAAATGATGCAGGCGGTAGAACAGCTGGACATAACTTTGCTTTGGCGGCTTCTGAAAGAGATGCAAACTTCGCGGACGATCCTGTCCAACGATCGTCTGCCGCAGCTTGAAGTAGCGAAGAAATTTCTCGAAAAGAAACGTCTCGAAGATATCCGCAGAGTCGTTTATGGCAATCTGAAAAAGGCGTCGCTTGGCGGCGCGCCCGGCACGGGATCACTCATACGCGCGTACTTGAATGTGAAGCCGGTATATCGATGTAAGCTGGCGTCGTTTCGCGCTTGTTCTGTTATAATGATCTAGTAAAAACGTAAAAACATCATACAAAATATAAGACTATTTTTCTAAGTCTTCAGCATTCAGAGCATTCAGTCATTGCCCGAAATAGCCGTTATGAGCGAAATGTGCTCTTTCCAGAAAAAGGTTCGCACTAGCAATGGCATCACCCATGGATTCCTCTGAAGAGTCATGCTATAGGGTGATACAAGTGCATAGCATCTTACACAATCAACGACCCTTTGTAAGTTGCTATGAAAGTAAGCATTGCCTAGCTACACCTTTATCCCATTGTATGACGTTACGTTTATGGATTATCCATACAGTTTTTTTTTGTTTTCAGTTTCTCCCGATGAGCCACTGGTGTATGGTCATCCTGTATGGGCAGTAATGTATCACGCCTTCCGCTGTGGCGACCTGGCATGCGCTGCTGAGGCGGCCACACAAGCTGAAATGTTTGATCTTGTTGGTAAACTTCAGGAATGCCAACGTAACCCTCAGCAGCGATTGGGTGATGAAAGTTCAAGAGTACTACGGATCATATATTATCGAGATTATGGTTTAGGTTTGAACACGAACAACCCGTACGCGCGGGCCTTATTAGCTATTCTGGCCGGCTGCGATGTCAGTAACACGCACGGAGATCTCGGCATGGGGAACATCGAAGATTACATTTGGCTCAAAATGTGCAAGGTGCTCGCAACAAAAACCCAGGAAATCGACGTGCTCAACTTAGCGGATCTACAGTCAGAGCTGGCAGACAGGTATACGAGTGCCGACTTTGATGCCTTGCAACGACCGTTAACTTATGCCTATGTGTTATTACTTACGGCGCAATTCGAGCGAGCCATTGGGTTCCTCTACCAGATCGACGATCAGAGATGTCACGCGGTGCACATGGCAATTGCATTAGATCAGCTTGGCCTGCTGAATCTCACGACTCAGCCAGGAGAACGTATTCTTGTACGTATAAATGATACTTTTCAGATAAATATGCCCCGGTTAATCACCGTGTACTCGCGTCGCTTTGAGATGTCCGAGCCTGAAATTGCCCTTGAATACTATTATGTCTTAAAATCCCAGCATGGAGCGCTTTGGCTGCAATGCATCATCGAATTAGTCCTGGAAACAAAGGCGTACGCGAAAATACTTGGACGACGAAATCCAGATGGCGGAACTGTTAATGGCGCTTTGGAGAAGTTCATTCCTCTGGGCAGAAACAATGAAGTACGTAAACAGGTTACTATCGCAGTTGCTGACGCGGCCGTATCACGCGGTTTTCACGAAGAGGCTGTGGCACTATACGAGCTCGCTGACGAAAGGCAGAAATGTGTTAATCTTCTCATTAAAGTACTATGTGTTCAGGTAGGGATTGCAGGCCCTATAAAACGGGCTGTGCAGACCTCATTTACATCCTGCGCTAAACGTATTCTTTTTGATGTTATCGGTTATCATATAGTGTTATCGGTTTTTAGCTAAATGGGTTGAATCCTATGACATGTTTGCAGAATCCATTTTAACTATCTAGAAACAGGAAAGTCTGAGATATTTTTCATATCATCATCATTACATCGTGATGATCAGATATCACTCAGGTCAGACGATGATGAAGATGGTCACACGTAACAGTACTACAGATTAGTTGGCTAGATAATCTAATACAATATTTGTCGTTGCAACACATCGTGTAGATTTGAAGATAATACAACTTTTTCAGGTTAGCCAAGCAGGTTCTGAAGGCAGTAAGCGAAGTAAACTTCAGAAGATCGCACATCAAATTCTCATGCGGTACGTGTATGTAGAGAAACTATCAAATAATTTTCTCAAGGCAATCAGAATAAGGTTAAATTTTGCGTTTCCATGATGATTTAAACCTTTTACAGGATTAATAGTTAAGCGAAGATACTTCACATTATCCAGGTTCCAGGGTTGCTCTGCGTTATCATTAACGGGAAGTCTGCGCAAGAAATTCATTATGCGCAGTGTTTCATAGTTATTAGGATACGAATGTGATCGATCTGAGAACAGCTCGTCTTGTCTGTTTCCAGCTATCCTTTTCCTGATCTTACGCTGCTGATGGAGCTAATGGAGTTCTTTGACCTCTATCATTTATCGAAGAATGAGGAGGCTCTTCAGGTAATGGGGAGACTTCGCCTTATTCCGCTCCAAATGGCCGACGTCGATGTAATGATCGCCGTATTCTGCGGACTAAACGAACAAATCCGGAGGGTAAGTTCGTATTGATAGTGAAGCTTCGTAATTTTTATGAGAAAATGTCGTAAACTGTTGCATATAAGAATGGTGTAGATTTGATACATATTTCTACCGAAAAACCCTGACGGCCCTCGTTGTTCTTCACTATAATAATAATAAACAACGATGCCAACCTCGGAATAGCACGATCGATGGCATTTCAAGATGTATATTTGGCAATACAATATCTATTTTCATCATTTTCGGCAGATCATCCCGGACGTTCTACTGACATTAATGACCATTCTGAGCGATCAATACAGGATGATTAAGAGACCGCCGCAACAAAGTGCTTCTGTTATGGTTTTGATCAGAAGTAAGGGCAGTTTAGTTTCCTTTTGAACATGTCGTGGGGCACTGCTTGTAGCGTTTCCGCTGCGACAAATTGAGTCATTTCGACCATCGGCCACCCGGCGCTAGGAGGTTCGCCTCCTCATAATTTATTCATTTTGTTTAGCTTATGAGGAGAAAGCATATTTATTTTTAGATTTAGATAATATGTTTCGTCCACGAATGTGTTATATGAATATTGGGAGACTCCTATTTTGGGAGCCCAGAGTGGAGCCCCGGTTTCAACTCGGATCAGAGTTACTACCGTGGCAAATGCATTGCCATTACTCTGCCATGCCTTTGTTGTTAATGTTGGTATTGGGTACGATATTGAGACAGCCAGCGTTTAATTGAATACTGATGCAAGAATATCAGTCTCAAAGCCAACAATTTGATATAAACGTATCCCCGTTGAGTCACAAAAAATAGCTACGGAATAGGAGCGATGTTATCTAATCTGGCCGCATGTTTTCCAGGTGGGAACCTGGCGAAGCTAGAACTTATCAAAAGGCAGGCAAATGCCATTATTAAATATGCCGGCATGGTAAGATTTTCGTTGTCCGTTGTTACTCTTCCGTTTATGTTAGCTGACGTTACAGAATTAATCGCATAGCTAAACTAGCATTTAATACTGAAATTTCTTAGTTCCAACATGATAGAACGTCTCTTGATTGTGGCGAAATGAAAAATACGGAAAAACTGGTTGATTCGCTTTAAACACAATGGCAAATATAAAAGCAGTACTACGTGCATGCTAGGTACTTATAACATTCAAAGATACAAAGAAGTGCCCTGTTGTAGTATTGTAGTACTTACCAACATTATCACAGTAGACGATATATATCAAATACGTTTAATTTAGATATAAATAGATTGAAGGAGCGGATGTGCATTAATCATTCAGTTATTAGGTTCCTTCAAACGAAAGGAACAATGAAATTTTCAGCAATGCACACCAATTGGCAGACAGGTAATGTAAACAAACAATACAGTTTGGTTAAATTGATTCGTCTGCCGATTTTGTAATGTGTGAAATGGAGCGTTTGCATCCTCGAGGCCGGTCTGACAATGGTATCTGTCGAAAACTGGTGGAAATCTTACGGAAATTGGTCGTGCAGCACTGGTGTCAACTCGTTAAAAAAAAGTCCCAAGCAAATTTTTATCTTAAATAACCATTAATTTCTTCTTTTCAGGTTCCTTACCGATTTCCCTCAAACGTAAATGCCCGCTTAGTGCAAATGGAGTCTGGTATGGCATAAATAAAATATTCCCTAGAAGCTATAGTTTCCTCATAGAACGACCCATCCCCCAAATAGATATGTTTGACATGTCCTGCGTGGGAAGTAATTACGGATTGAATACAAGATTTGCTTGACGTGTTTAGTAGGTAACTAGAAACGTTCGGCAAGCTCTCATAATGCTGCTAACGGCCCGTTCATGGTTTTTCAAATAGAGAACTACTAATCTGAAATTTCTATTGCTCGCGACAAAAATAATCCATTGCGCTTACAACTGCAGATTATGGTTCGTAATGTGAAAGAATAGACTAGCTTTTTGTAGGCACCAAACGATAAACTCGCACATTGTAGAACTTCCAGTGGCGAATCAAGGGTTAACGAATTAAAGGTAATTTTATCATACTTTATTCATTTGCGGCAATAAAAACAAAACTCGCGTAATTAGGAGATAAATAAAGATTGCTGTACGTGCTATGGATTTATGACTAACTAGGAAATCACCTAAGCTACAGGCATCCATCTTACAGATACGTTGTAGGAATGCCCGGTACCTTACGTTAGAGTGCCTTCGATGTAGCTGCTTGACCGTAACAGTTTAACGAGCTTGCTTAAGACACCTAAAACACGTTTAGCTTTTAAAGTTCAGTAGGCTCTCTGATAAAAAAAAAATCATAATTAGCTAGACGGAGTGATAATTTTCGTATGGCTAGAACCATAAAATGCTCCACGTAACTGAACTTCTTCGAATTGTAATGGGAATGGTTTTACAGTGCCGCGTGGTCGGGAAATAGTTCCGCATTTCTTCGTTTCCTAAATCACGGTTGACATTAACTTTGTACATAGCAAGCTTATGACGATACATTTAAGTTGACATTTTTCGTTGTATTCTTAATGTGTGATATATATGCTTTGTGAAGCTATATGAACATGCTTATGACAGGCGGAAAACAGATGAACTTACTTACACTTAGGAATTCTTCTGCTTAAATTGTACCGACCTCGTTCTACTATGCGCTCTCACCGAACACACTGCGATCAGTAGTATCTAGTAGAAAATATCCAACCTAACAGACAAGGCTAACTCATACATGTTTCCATCGCCTGTTGCAAACATGTAGCTTCCCATCTGGCTAATAACAATCTAGGAAACTGATTTTTGGCGAAATATTTACTTACCATCTATGCATTGCTCACCAGTGCTACGAATATAATCAAACAAGACCGAGTAATAATCTCTTATGATGTTATAATAAATAGGTTATGATATATATATATATGTAGGTATATTAAAAAAAACGTTGGTGTTTGCAAAACTGTCGTTAAAAATTTTGGGACAAATGAAGCGAACGTACCTTCAACACTAATTGCAACTACATGAGATCCAGAATTTCGCGCGACGCAAGGTTAAAGCTTTTTGTTGTCCGTCCCTACTACTATTCTCTGTTTAGAGAACATGACAGTGATCTTCATTGCGATTGCACGTTAACTGTGGTTCTGTCATGCAAATAAGCCAAAACCTTCTACCTCCAAAGAGAATTGACGTAGGAAGCTCAGCCCGAAATTGAGAGTATCTCACTTCCACACGCGGGTTTTATACAAGCTTTATACGTCTTATACGTACGATCCTCAACAAACAGCTAGCTCGCACCAGTTTTCTTGTTTCAAATATACCACCGAACGTCTATGCAAATCAGAAGCTGCAGCTTAAATCGTTTTTCGCTATATTACGACGAGGTTCTTTAATGTCGAATGCAGTAAGATCATATCAGGAACACTGCAACTGGAAGCGCTGTACTGTATCCTTCTGAGTAAAGATTGATGGTTCAGTGTTTCTTTTCCTTGAGACAGCCCGCAACATTTTAAAAATGGCAGTGCTCTTACTCAGGTTATTTTTGCATATCCAGTATATGATTTTCCCCCCTCACTACGTACATTCTCACAAAATTGGGTTCACCTTTTAAAACTCTGCAAGCCTCTAGACTAAAACTGCATCGTTTGTAACCGACTGTTTGTTGTTCCATGCTTCTTCTGATATGTGTTCCTAAGAGAAGGGAGGTACGCTTTAGAGCAGCAATAAAAATAGCAAGTCACGTCGCCTTTTTTGTCAAAAGCGAAACCAGCATCTATATAATAAATATAGTTTGCTTTCAGTGTTCTGAACGTTCTGCACGTAAAGTTGTCTATTCTATCTAGCTATTTATTCCACCTACCCTCAGGTTCTTTAAGCGCAGATGAAAATACTTAGAAAGGGGAAATTTTAGTTGTGAAGTGGTTCTGCGAATAAAAGTGCCACAAATGAAGTAACGGGTATGTACATACTCTGGTAGAAATTCTGTTAGGTTAGCACGATCGTGTCGTAAAATGTAAGGGGGGATGACGGTTAGAGAAAGAAAAATGACGACGGAACGTAATTTTTGTAAAATCAAAACTTGCGATACGTTAGTGTATAAAATTACATAAATCGTGATGTTGCTTGTGATGTTATATCCTCTTTGTATTTTTATTTAAATGGCTATTTACACATTCTCGGTGTATTTACAAATGCGCAATTTCAGCCATCATGTTTCCCTCATTTTCATCTTGATGTTTTCTGTTTCAATCTTCCCGTATTTTTTTCTTCTGTATGTAATAGGTGCATCATTTCAGCATTGCTTTTTCGAGATTTCCTCGTTTTTACGTGCCGTATTATAATCCATGTATTTATCTGTAAGCAACATCGAACCAAACACCACACTACGAAGATAATTCCGTGTAAATTGATAAATTTCAATTTACGTATGTCACCCATAACAATAGTTGAACAGTAATAACCCGGTATTGCAATTGTTCTAATTATATGACTACGGTATCTTAAGTTTAAAAAAATCGAGTACAATGATTGCAGTAGTGGGCTCACCCTCAGGCAAATTACACTACCTGCATGAATTCATTCTTACCAACAAAACTGCACACCAACATACAAACCTGTTAACTACCTAACTATTAGCCTAATGTCGACTTAGAACGTAAACATCGGTTACAGCAGGCCTCGTGACGAGTATGGAATAAAAGTACTGTCAGCCACTTTTGCCAGCATACGCCTTTAGTTGACGATGGCAGCCTTCGGCTAAGTCAAACATGTCACTGTGACAATTTCAAATTAGAAGTTAGACTTTTGGCTTGCATCGCCTAATTTAAATTCGTGTAAACGGCGAATTGTGATACTACTAAAAAAACAGCCTTTGCAAATATACAATCGCGTAGGATTGTGCTGTGTGAAATACAATAACGGTATGTTGTTTTTCCTGCGTTTTATCAGTCCAATCAAAACAATCTGGTCGGGCCACATTGTTTGTTTACATGTCTCACTTAGTCCTTTCCGCGGTAGTAGCTCTATATGAGTGTGACGCTCACGGTCCTCGCATATCTTAACGAAGCCTGACAATATCTTCTGCGCCTAATTCGAAATAAATGATTCAGCGAATTCTGGGACTAGTTTCGTTTTCTCTGGATATAAACGTGCAAAGTACGTCGTGATACCGAGAGGCCCAAGTTTTGGAATTTGTTTGTATAGTAAGCTGGTTTGTTTCTGGATTTCTCTAACTCGGTTATGGACTACGAAATACTGCTGAAAACAGATCGAATTCTAATATATTGCCACCGCTTACTTCCATATTCTCTAAACTTCAGCTCTTAGTTCGCGTAGTTACGAGCTTTGCCAATCATCGAGTCCTTCTAGGTATTATCTTTGCTGCATAATTCATTAACATAATTAAGAGTACAGTGGAGCGATGTCACCTTTAATTGCTTCTAATCCACCCACTTTCTAGCCGTCGGCGGCTAGAATTATCGTATCGTACACTGATTTAAAATTACACGACCCATCATTTCGATCGTCGTATGTGGTTACATTCGCTCGAGCCATTCGTATATTGAGCCATTATTCCTGTCACTATATTCTCAATTATTTTTGGGTTTTTCCTCCGCTCAATGTTTACTCTTAGACTGTTTTTCCTATCTTCCTTTTTCTCCTGCAATCATCTATGTAAACTTAACATTTCATAATTTCATCATTAGCATGATCACCGTTATATAATTATGAAAAATTACATGATCATTTCGTTTAAACAGTTCTCATTTCCAGCTGCTGTTTTGCACGCTGCAGAACTGGTATGGATAATTAGATTATAATTACAGAGAGGTGTTAATCCGTTTTGTCCAAAAAAGACAGCAAAAAAGTTGTGATCTAGGCGCGCCCAACACGCACTCGATTCATAGGCCGCTAACAGTAGGAATGATAATAAACGTGGCTGGACAGGAGGATGGTGGAGGGGAGAAAAAACCGCAGGCGCTGTGGAACGCGCTTAAAGTTCAGATTTCTTCTCGCTGCTGCTCGACGCTTTTTTGACTGAAGCCGGAGTAGGTTTGGGAGCCTCTCTGGGCTTGGTGGGTGGTGTCGACGTCGTAGGCGTTCTCGTTAGGGGGGCCTGGGTGGGTTTCGGCGTCGTGGTTGCTGCCGTGGCGGTGGCAGGGGCAGCCTTAGGAGTGGGCGGAGCGGCGTGCCTTTGAGCAGCGGGTGTAGCTGTCAGTTTGCTTGGAGGCACTGAACCAATAATGGGTTCCGATTTGCCCCCAGATTGGTAGTCCTCGATCATTTTCAATGCCAACTTATAGTATTCCAAAAACTGTTTCTTACCGGCGACAAAATATTTATTGACAACAACCCTAAAGTCGGCAAATTTCTCTGAAGCCAGTTTTGTATATTCCTAAACAGGGTAGAGATGCCAAAAAAGAACAAAGATATTAACATAATATAATATTACATATAATAAAGATAATAAATGATGGATTTCGTAGAGGTAACGAATCATTCTATTGAACAATCCCGATTAGAAGAAAACTTTGTTCAGCTATGGCTAATAATTTGGAATCATTGCATAAGCCGTGCGGCTTGCAGATCACTGTAAGTAGTATGTATAGAAGGTTACCTTGGAATACTGCTGAATAATGGGTAGATGATGCTTTTCAAAGTAGGCGTAGTATACGCTAGTGTGCTTCTCTGCTATACTGTAGTATATTAATGCCTTTTTATGGCCTACATAGTACGCCTCTCGAGTGAAATCTTTTAATTCATCCAACGTAGGCATCCTCTGCTTCATATGATACGAATAAGCGGTAAACACGGCAACGTAGAGAATTCCAGCAACAGCCGTCAACGTCATAAGCTTGAGGAATAGACTGAATAAACAGCCACAGCCTAGAACATTGATCGAGTAACAACGGAAACAAAAGGTTACATATGAACAACAGCTATTAGAAAGTACTCAACACGTTAAAGGGAAAAGATGTACCTATAAATATCGGAATTCAAGTACAGCTGAGTATTATGGGCCAATCTAGCTTTGTGCGATGTACGTATCTAAATCAAATTTTGCACACAAAACAGTATCGTAATAGTGTAATAGATTTTTTTTTTCGTGACTATTACACCAGGACATGTTTGGATTCTAAGCTGAGGGGCTCACATCGACGTTATAGCTACAAATAATTTAGTTCCCTTCAATTGTTTTCATTTAAATTCAATTAATTAAATCAAATTTAATCCTATGAACGTCCGTGTTCCGATCTGTGTACAACCCGTAATATGAACTTTGTTTTAACCTATACTTCTGGGTTTCTAACAAAAGGACAGACTACTTTGAAGAGGTTGCAGCAAATGTCATTTCTTTACGGACTTATTCAGCAAGCCCTATTCGCTATATTATCGCAAGGCACCTAAGCATATAGCTGGTACGGTTAAGTAGATGCCCGACGAGTACAGCAAGCCAAGATATATATCAATCTAACGGAGCCTATCATGAAGCGTATTCCATGCGAATTATTACGGCTACTATTTAAAAAATAGTATAGGGCTTAGTTAGGATCGATTATAGAACCGATCGTATAATCTACAGTGATAGAATGATGTTGGCGTTTTCTGCCAAAAAAGCATAGAAGGGTCAAAGGCCAAAACTAGCGCTATTCCGGCTGTTTCTATAACAAGTTGCCAATTCGAATATGCTTGCTATATTCTCCAAATGGTTTCCTTCTGTGCTTCAAATGACGATGTGAAACATCTAAAAAAGGAGGAAATGGAACTTTCAATTCAGCCAATCAAAACAACCAACCAATAAAAGTAAAGAAAAAAGTTTTATTTAAAAAAGATCACTATGCAAAAGCAATTTTCATTTTCAATTTCTACTGTTTAACTTGAAACTTTAAAAAAGTTTCAAGTAGAAAAGCTGAATAGAGACATTTAAATTATCGGATAAAGGTAATTTTCTAATATAAATATTTAAACCAATAATTTCGTTGAATATTTATATTCTTGACAGGTAGATTAAACAATAAGCTGGTTTCTTATTGTTGGCTAAAAAAGATTGGAGGCCATGCAGTTATTTTGCTATGTATCTTGCAGGTAGGAGAGCTGCAAATAAACGATGAAAAATACGTTAAATCAAACACAATGCATTCATAAAAAACAATAAAGGATAGATATAAAACAAGTACTCACATCCTTTGGAAGATTTGGGCCCGCTTTGTCGGCGAGCACCCTGAGAGCTCCCTGACGACGAACCACTCTTCTTCTGGCCAAGCTGAGAAGCTTGTTGATTGCCTTGCTGACCCTTACTTTTGGCCATCCTGTTTGTCTAGATAAAAAAAACTACTTGAAGGTGTGAGCTAGGCCTAAAATGTAATCTGCAAAAGAGAGAAACAACCACATTTACGTTACAACCATACGATACTTAATATGAAGTGTATTCAAGTGTGAAGAGGTATTAAATAAGCAGTATAGTTTTTATCGTATAATTAATTACCGTTATACATAGGAAGACATCTATTCTATCTAGAAATATTTAACATTACTTGTATTAGAGGAGACATGCTTAAATAAAGTGATTTAAACAGGAATAACATATAATCTAAAATAATCAAAATTGAACCATCAATCTATAATAGTTTTATGAATGCTCACTTACTTCCGCATTGCCTTTATAGAGTATGCGAAATATATATCATGTAACTGATACCATTTATGACTGCCACAGGTACATGTACTATTCCTATACGTATCCCATAATTATCATTATAGAGTCTTAACGATAAACTCCATTATAACATTGACTCTTATTGCAATGAAACTGTCAGTCAATAGTCTGTATCGATGGCACTAGTCACCAAGTGTTTTTAGCGTTATGTTAATATTCCAAACCATTTCATGGAATTTTCTTTTAAATCGTAAAATAGTTATAATATTTGTGTCATTCTCTAAATACGAGTACTCCAAACATCTCCTATAGTTTAGTAATAAACTCTTTCTCAGGACATCTCGATCTGCTTGCTCACAGTTGTAGTTATCTTCTGTTTGGTGACTGAAAGGCGGCTGCATTTGCGCTCGGCGGTGGGCATGACAAGACTGAAAAACATGTTCAGACTCTGCAAAAAGCCCTCCGCTTGGTATTGACAGCGGCAAGGATTCTTAGCCGTTAAACGGCGACATGAACAGAACTAACAACAGATGCATCTTCCGCATACATGACCGTTGTAGTACGCTGTCAAGAGGCTAGTAGTGTGATCTCAAATTTCGGATCAATCTGGCCATATAGTAATTTATGCAACTCGCCCAGTAGTTTGAATTTTACATGAACAACATGGTGCGACAACTGGCTATTTCAAATGGCTGGGGAAGACAAAACTTCAATGTAAAATTCACAAGAAAAACTAGAGCTTAATCAAGTTCTACCGTATAGTTGTCAACTAGTTACCTTCAGCACCCTAGCTTGAAGGGCTGAGGAACCATAGGATGATCATGTTTCCACATACTTGATTAAGTCTGAATGGTGGGTAAATCCACAGTTGATACTTAACTAGTCTTGCATAATATAATAGCTACCTTTGCTTTACGATTTATACAGAAACAAAAAAGCATGCCTACATTTTATTGGTAGCCTCATCGAAGGAAAGTGATACGCTAACCAGTTTAATATAGTTCATAGGATTCAATTCCAAACAAACGACATCGATAAGACATCAATAAATGTATGTTCTAAAAACTAGAAAATGTAAATTCAATATGTGTTTTCATATAGTTACGATATATATCTCGCCTGATCCATCAGCGAACGAACGGCTGTCTGCTGCAAACGCAGTAGCACCAATATCGAATTTAGTCCGAACATAGTTGCCATAAAGGAAGATTATCTAAAAATATGCGTCTTTATTTAGTTGGTAAAAAAAAATCAGTTTTATTGAGTAGTTGGACAGCCGTATAGGCAAAAGATATAGAAATTTATTTCCGAATAAACAGAAGTCAATGGCACATTTGAAGGTTCGTCGTCTTTAATCTGTTTGTATCCAAAGACTAACCGGTATTTTATTCACTTTGACTGCAAAACCCAAGCAAGCGTACCAGTCGTGTTTGCCATATCGTCACCGCTAGTAGAACTATAGCGTGTTAGATGCGGTCTAGTGAAGTCAAAGTTCGACATTGGCTGCATATCCAGTAAACAAACAATTTTTCTCACTCATAAAAAATCATCTCATTACGGTTCGGTTTGACGATGCTCAAAAGTTATTGCTAAATCCGTATAGCAGTGATACTTTGGAGTGAGAGGTCAGGCTGAAAATCTAAGACATGGATCGGTCAAGACTCTCCTGTACATCATAGCACGCGCTATTAGCAAAAGAAAGACTTCTCTTAAACATGTTTAGATTGTCATAAAATGGTCTTCTTACTGCGAACGCGTTCCTTCACAACACATGACAAATTCTCTAAATATATGTCTGACTAAGCAAACATAGCAACAAAAGACTTATTTTTTGTGCATTGCCCGACGTAACTCGTTATAAGAAAATAAGTGCGCCCTACTAGAGTTAAATATGAATAGTAAGTACACGAAACACCTCTGTTAAATCGAATTAGCTCTATTTGTGTCTCCTCTTCTCGCTTACTTTTCCTCCTTTTTTCTTGCAAAGGGTTTCGACGATTTTTTTTCTAGTAAATTTGCACAACGAATATTCTATCGCGACTAGCATTTCTATCGGGACAACCGCTATATAAATACCATTGATTTGATAGCAGTGTGATGACGCCTTTGTGTTCGGGCCACTAAAGTAAGCCCTTGGCAATTAATCCTTGCATGTGATTGATACATGCACACAACAGGCTTTTACCAGCATAAACAGGCGGTAAATTACTTGGCTATACAAGCAGCTTACGTTAGTAGAAAATACATATATATGTGTTTAGTTATCCCAGTCCAATCACATATGCTTATTAGCCTTGTTGGTTAAAAAATTGGCAAAAAAGAAGCCCTGCTTTCCAACAGGCGTCGCTGCCACGCTATAATGGCTGCTGCTTGCAAGCACCGGGCTGGCTAGCTAGCTGCGATCTCGTTTCACAAAATTGTTCAGCCTAAACTGCCGGCTTCTCTCAGACATGCTGATTATAATACAACTAGTCGGAACAATCGTCGGGACGGGTCAAAGCTGCACAGACATTCATAGATCGAAAGTAATAGGAAGAAAAAAAGAACCGTGTGTTAGGCTTGCTTCGCTCGAGCCGGCGCACAGCCATATATATATATGTGTAAACTTGCATACACACACGTGCAGATATTCTATTCACTTATGTACCCTTCTTCCGCGTACTACTCTTCACCGCTCTGAAGACGCCTTATTGCTTCCGCGGACCTCAAAATGCCTGTAAATGCTTCAGTTCGATATCGTTTCCTGCCGCTCGTCCTACCCGTTCGGTTGATACTCTACATCCGAAGGCTGTAGACGGCAAGCGAGTGAGCAGTGCTTGATGATCGCATGGCTCACAACGAGGATGTTAATAGGTAACAACAGGCAGTTTCGTCCACGCAGTTTGGCCAATTTGTCAGATCAGTAGGCAGTTGGCAACTGTAGTAACTTGGCAAGGTAGCAGGCACCATAACATCAGCACTAGCGAATTTCGGCTGATGATACAGAGTTCGCGCATGATTGAGCAACAAAGCTATACCAGCACAGGAAAATAACATGGAACTAACTTATAAAAGAATGACATGGTCAGTGACGATGCCAGCAATAACAAAGCATAGAAACCGCAGTCTGTCATTCAAGATTGTCGCTGCACGAACGTTGGCAGAGTCTTCCATAGAAGCTGCCGGAATTAAGCGTGAGTAAATAAGCTTCTGTATAATAATCGCATAGGTATTATTAATAAAAAAACAAAAGTAATAACAGCAGTAAATAAAGAAAGGCAAGGGTAACGAGCAAACATTGCGATTATGATTTCCCGCACTTATTATTATAAATACAGCCATAATAATTTGTATTGACGGCAATGATTTCTACTGTTTGCTGGATTTAGGCCACGCCACTATACAGTTAAGAAATCCCGGCAAGTGCGTAAGGGACACCGAAACTGTCATTGCTATTATTTTCGATTTCGTAGAAAAGGAAACAGTACTTAAGGAAGTTTCTTCAATAATTATACATTAAACAATAATTATTTCCTGGTAAAAATAAGAAAATTTGGTTCTGTCTTCTTTTCGAACGAACCTTAGATACAAAGATATCTTCGCTAACACCACTGCTAGTAATAATCTAATAAGAAGAAGCAAAGTGGCTAAAATATCATTGTATATTCGAGTTTCATTAGCGTTTTCTTCAACGTTAAATAGCACAAATGTTTCACATATGATTGCACCATTTACGTGAAGGCCTGTTTCAACTTAGGGTCCATGCGACCAATCGGTCGGTAAATCATGAATTGATATTTTAGAGATGTGTTATGATTCATATATTAAAATACTCCTTATTTATTTGTCTCTATGGGCAAGCGCGTAAATTCATTTAAATTAAATCTGTTATATATTTATGCTGGCCAATCGTAATCATGCGAATTGCTCTCACGCGAGTATGTTTCAACAAGATCGCAAAAGAGCCTTCCGTCGGGCTGAATTTTTCCACGTGTATGTTTTCAAATAGACGCCGAGTGTAGGTAAAAGTGGGCAATGTTAATTTTTATTTTGACATTGATGGCCCGGTTATGAATATACCTGTGGAGGAACCTTTTACGAAAAAAACCTTAGGAAAGGAGGTCATCTCCTGTTTTCTAAATCAACGTTTCGAACGTTTCAAACGTCTAAAACAACGATTCGAACAGTTCTATAAACCCGTTCTTTTTGATCCGTACAGTCAACACTGGATTCTTATCAGATACTAAAAGCAGAATAGCTCCACCATTGATGGTACACCTTGCATGGTTTTCTATGTTTTCCTCTACTGGATTTATTATTAGTAATATTATTGCCATCATCATCCTCCTTCCAACAGTCAGATCACAACGCGGATGTTTGGTGCAACGGAAAGGTGCAAGCATAGACTGGAAAATTGCCAGCGGAACAACAATGCAAAATCTGACACGTACACTTTTCTATTTCAACTTTGGACAATCAAAGGCCAAAGGACAAATGCGTCAAGCCTCATGAAATATCTGTCTACTCACTGATACCACGATTTTGAATCGCGTGCTCGCTCGCTTATTGGGTAGGTGCTCGCGAGAGTAGACCCGGTGTTTTACACAGACGTTCAACAAAATGTGTCGTTGTTTAAATAAAATGGGCTTCTCAGTCAAAGTAGTATTATCACCAGCAGCTCTTTCTAAACGACGGGAGGCAAGCAGACAACTCGGCAAATGCCGCACATTACCGTAGTGCCGTATAGTTTGTTGATACTACGGGTCCTTCCTGCATATCCATACTCTACCCGCCAGCGCCGTCACCATAACGATCAGACTGGTTGTGTAGATATTCTCTGTTACTTGGCTGAAAACAACTGCTTTTTAATAATGTTTGGTGTTCTAATGATGATAGCGGCTATGTTGGAGGAGTGTCTAGCTACCACCAAACTGGCAAAATTGGCAACGACAATACAATAGCGCTTCTCGGTTGATCAGCAGTGACGTGTAACCCGACCTGCCGGTCTCCGAAGAATGAAATGCGATCACGTCTTGTCGAACCAGATCACTTCTCTGCGTCGATCGGCTGGCGAAAAAACTCATCTGAGCGCTTGCTTACCTTATGCAGCCAAGGAGTGGTTTCCAGTAAGACCGTACTCTCCGAGACACTCTAAGACGACACCACAGAGTCCGTCGGTATAATCTGTCATTAGACTCTACTCGATGGTTGGGTTCTACGGACTACAAGAGCGGCGGCGGCAACAGCCACAGCAGCAGTAGCGGCGGTGGTGGCAGCAGCGGCGCAGCACACACTGATATAAACCACAGCACAGGCAAAGAGGCTCCAATACAAACCGAACGATCAGCACTGGCTGGCGCTGGCCAGCGTACCACGATCGTCGCACTATCATCGACGACAGCGGCGGCGGCGGCAAAAACAGCCAACATGGCGACGCCAAAGAAAGGGGTCGGCCAACGAGAGCAAGGGCGCGCCAAATTTAAATGCACCTAGCGACACATTTGAACTGATGCCAAATGGTAGCCAGCTACGTGATCAAATAACGCGAATGAATGGAGAGAATGAAATGGCTAATAGCAACTATGCGGCTAGGTTGAATTTAGGGTCCTCTGAGGTGGTGCAGTGGGAACATGTTTGCCTACTTAACTTGGGAACGCTTAGTGGGCGTGATTATTCTTTATCCTACCCTGAAAGGGGGGCAATTGCCTGATATAATGTTTAGTAGGAACACAAGATGTGCATATTCATTATCCTAGTTCATTCGCCATTTATTCGTCAAATTAACTTGTAGGAGACAAAAACCATGTTATAAAATATACGTTATAAAAATCGATCACGCGGCATGTGTACGGTTTTGCTTGATCTGTATACCTGTGTACAAAACATTTTTATAGAATGTCACAGTGTAGTAATAACAGACATTCATAAACACACGGCTGCTGTATTTTGAGGGGAAGACATTTTTCAAATCAGGCACACTTAAATGCATTTTAACTTGGCGACATCTGTAAGAAATTCTTAAAAGAAGATGGCCAAACACCAAAACGCGCTCTTAATTGCCGTTGTAGTGGCCACAACGGTTAGACGCATGCAAAAAGAAAATTCAAATAATGATTGACCAATTCAAACGACGTATGTTAGCGTGGCTATGGTGCTATTTAATTGTCACTAAAACGATAATGAATATCATACGCACACTGATTGTTAGCACTGAAAAAATGCAACAACAAACTGTAGGGCTGATAGAACTGTCTGGGACAATGTCTTTAGCTGTCATCATAATGTTGTTGAGCGGCGTCAGCGCCACGTTTCAAAATACATTCACTTTGTTCGGTTTCTTAGTGCATTATTTCGACTCGTCTCATCGAGAGCTTTCTCAAAATATACTCCCATCTGCAAAAGGATAACATTCCCTTGAAGGAATGCATTGAGCACAATATTATTACTAGCATAAAATCCTGGACCCTACAACTTGTCTTTAGTCACCCGGTGAAGGCCCAGAAGAAATCCACAGCAAGACCACAAATGGAAAACTGGCACATGAAGCGCTGATAATTTTAATTCATAGATAAAAGAAGAACTGATCTCGATGCCAATTACAGGAATGGTGCCTGATGAATGTAAGTAACTAGCCGAATTGACGCCATTGTTCGATGGTTGCAGATCATGGAGCACTGTTTTCGGTTCTGAATGAAGTTTTTGGGTGCTATAAGTGAGTGTATACAAAATCTGTAACATAAATTAATGGGCCTTAATACAAAAACGAAACAAAAAATAGATTGTCAAAGATAGCTCGTGATTCTACATGGCCAAAAGTTCTAAAAAGTGCAGCACAATTGTCTGCATGGTTAGATGCCGTTGAGCTATTTTTGCTAATTGAGCTATTTTTGCTAATTTTGTGTGTTACAACAAAGTTGGAAATTAGGCATGGCTGTGAAATTTTGTCTCCAAAGCTATTTAATATATATGTTAACTATATATTATATATATATAGCTATTAATATATATGTTAGAAACTAGAAAATAACCTCTGTATCATATCCAAATAGCAGTGCTAAGAATTAGAACAATACTTGTATTTTGGCAGGCATTTTTTGTCAGTAGTACAAGTAGATTATCAGAAGTTTTGACAAATGTTCAACTTTTGCTGATAAAATAGTGTTAGGACCATTGGTAAGGTCGAACTGATAGTCGTCTTGGTTTATCAAAATATTCGGAAACCAATTCTCTGAGCTCTTCAAGTTACGAGAACTATTCTCTGGCGAACAAATTTTGCGTCGATTTAACCTAGAGATAGTTTGAAGGCTAATTCTGGCAAATAATATGCGTGAGAGGCCTAACTGAACAGCAATTTTTTCTATTTTCGATGTTACATACAAGGAAGACTGATGTCATGCAGCACAAGTACTTCGCGACTTACTTAATCAGTGTAAGGTCTTTTGATGTCAATGAGACGTAGTATCGTGTCTGTTCATTCAGTTTATAAGAAACTCACTTACCTGCCTTCTGTATCTTTTGCACAGCCCGCCAATTATTCGAAATTATTTTTCTCAGTCAGTCTGCATTCGTCTGCAGGTAAGTTCCTGCTGAGAGTGGACTAAATCTGATTATAACACGACGTGAATAGTAAAGAGTTCAATCGTTTGAGAACAAGGAGCAAATAGCTGGTCGAATCTCAGAGTGATCGAAAACTTTCTCGATTAAAGTTCAGGATGAAAATCTCCTAATACATTCGATACTTACTGCACTTTTCTTTGCACATGTTCGTAAACTATGCTTCTGAAGTAACAGGCGGAAAGCGTAGGTGCTAACCTTTAATTATTCGAGTTAATAATAGCTCAGAAACGTTTGATTTTTACTTGAGTTTGTAGTAGAAACAGTTACGTGCGGTACTGTGGCTGTCCTAAAGCACTCGGCGACTGGTGGGAACCTCTTATTAGATAGCTTGTAAGCATCTCGAAAGATAGTTCTTCATCGCAGCACTCGATAATTTATGAAACAAAGATCAGCCAAACTGCAGATTCTAGCAATGAATGCGCTTTCATTTAGTGGGACTCGAATATTATCGGTATTGACTATATAATTAAGTGAGAACGTACAGGGATAAACTTGGTCAAGGGTGCGAAGGAAAGGTAAAAACGCTAAAAAAGATTTGGAAACCTTATAATCTACCCTCTTTATGACCAACTTTATAGTTGTCTCGGGTAATCTCAAAAGTTATCTTCGTAACATTTGTTTCTAGATTCAGGCAAATCTAACACCCGAATATAAGATACATCTAATATGGCCGGCATTACAACGCTCTACCGCATTGCAGAGCACATTCCTAGTGGACACCGACAAACAACACGGTGTTGAATATGTATATAGTGAAGGAAAACTAGCTAAGAAGTGATATTACTCTGTTGTTTCACTTGTTGTGTGCATTGAATATTATTAGAATGAGTCGATCACCGCGATGTGCCAAAAGAATTTAAAGCCTAACCGAACCTAACCTTCCCTGAAAGCAAGACCGACGATGGGCAAACACTGATGGTATTGGGGTTCAAAATGCAAAGCGCAAAAATAGGAAAACTCAAATCCAAATGGTACTCTCGTTGAGTATTAGGTAATTTTTTTATGATGCTCGAACGCGTACGTCATGATGCTTAGCGTCTGATCTTGACTAAACCGAATGGTAAAAATTCGACAACCACGTACTTGGTAAGCTTAAGGGATGTGTCTTCATTGGCTGACGACTCCTTTGGCATAGTGCATAACCGCAGTCATATCATTGAATACAGAACAACTATATACTGTTTGAATTTTCTTGAAGTGCCTTTCATAGCGAAACCTTTGCCTATGATAGGGGATGCCGGTTGAAGTCCCACCAACGGCATATATTTCAGGACAGGTAAAATTAATTAAGAAATATATTTAATGAGTTTCATAGTCTTATTTCGATTTATACTCGATCCTGATACATACGTGTACATTTCGTCAGCCTACAACTGGCGAAAAGCAATACTTATTAATACTTTTCTGTATCACAGTCTAATCTCCAGTTTACATTCTATTATTGGTCTGCGTTGTCCGAACGCATATTGTATGAAATGATTATTTCGTATTGATCAAAAATTTTAGAGCAAACTGGGCATAATCGTACTTTCAAATATTATATATAACCTGTATGTTTATGTATGAATAACTGTGTAAAATACACGTTTCCTTTTATAAAAAGAAAAAAAAACATGACAAACGTCTTAGACGATCTGCACAGTTATAAGGGGAACGTCCGCGTAAAGACCCAGAGTTAAACTCTTCGTTATATAAAGAGGTATTTGTTTATTTGCACTTTAATCAGATTGACCGGGCTGATGATAAGTGTACCACAACAGTAATAATAATCAAAACGATCGTGGAGCAAACTAAAAGTGCGCAAAAACTTTTTGAAAACAAAGTGCGCAGTAACGCTATACGTCCTCTTAGCCTGCGGGGTAGACGTGCAATTGGGTTTGTAAGTTAAGTTAGCTGCATTATGTGTCGCTTTTTCATACGACTCGTTGTAAAGTAATGCTCTGTCTTTCAATTATTTTTCTAACAATTCTAATAACAGATGAGAGGTTTTAATTGTAACAGACAAGTATTTCGGACTTGCGTAATGTATAAGTTTGCATTGGTATGGCAGAAAGTGTAATACTTTTATTGTATAGTCAAAGCAAACAGTTGTGCTAAACACATACTCACAGAATTTAGGAATTGCTTAAACCTGATTCGCGGAGAGAAGTAGCTCAAGTTAACAGAATTATTGCGAAAATTTCGCGACTGAACATCGTTGCGCCTAGGTCGTCAGTAGATAGCGATAAAATTACCATCGGATGACATCTATTTGTGATGTACCGATTTTCAACTAATTCATGATACCAATTTATTGATTAAAGTAATAGTCATTATAACGGTTTAGATTAGAGTAATACTTGTTATATATAATCTTGCTGTTATTACTTATACATAAGTATATATGTATCAGTCATATATGTATATATGATCGCAATTGTTCCAAACAAATCTAGAAAATTAGCTTTCAACCACAGAAATGTTTCGACTGGTGAGAAATGACGATATTCAGATTCCTTAACCTATGACCAGCTCTTATATTAGCCATTTTCTCTGTCCTACTTCGTCGAGAGCCTAATGCGCGGAGCATTAGATTATACCTAGGTGCTGTAAACCTTTTTCCAAGACACCCCGATAATGTCGTGAGAGATGCACAATGCATACTGTACAGTGTATCCACTTCAACATCGCTTTTCAATGAAGCGTCTTTATGAAGAAAAGAAGGAGAAGCTCGATGAACTTAATTCTTCAACTGAACTTCATAATAACATTCATTGTTAACAACGCATCGTATCTCGTTTGGATCGGGGATTTGATTATATATAGCAAGTGTATGTGAATCAAGTTGACATATCGAAAGTAGACATCTAAATAACGCATTACGCTTCAGTAAGTAGATAAAGAAGTAGGAGAAGATTTATTTAGTTCTAAAAAACTGTTTTTCTATGACCTGCAGAAAAACAAATTTGTAAATTTATATTTATTTATATAGCACATAAGCAGGCTCACCTGTTCACATTTGTTTTCCATGCTGCACTTTTCTGTATAATTGTTTAATTTAAACGATGGCCACAATATTAAAAGTGGATTAATTATTATAGATTTCTGCAATCTTTCTCAAGGGTCGTCGCTAATAAGTAAGCTTCATAACTGTTCAGTGAACGAGTGTTGAAAGAATAAGGTTCGA